AGCAACATTCAAAAAACTGGAGAAAACTCAAAAATACCAATGTACACAATAACTCATTCTCATCAAAGTTACATACGAGTCCAAAAACCTCTCAACAATTAAACAAAGTCACTACAAAACTAACGAAAAAAAATCAATTTATCACAGCGACTTTTTAACAACTGCTTAGAAACTTCAATTCGTGTTCCGTATAGCTGTTATCAAAAAGCAGTTCAGAACCGTTAAACAAATTGAAATAAAAATCAGATGGCTGCCAAAATTAACTGGACTTACGACCTCGTTTCTTTCCAGATCTCTTACATCCACAGTGAAATTCGCTATTTTCATCAACTTCCTCCGTAACACAATCTCGGTGAAACCAAACATCACAAGAATCACATTGGATCTAAAGGAATGCAAATAAAAAAGTGAGGAAATTTTAACGTACTACCAGAAACTACATCAAATTAACAAACCCAGTTGACGTTATTTCCCTGAGGCATTTTGCAGCGTGATTTAGCACCACATTGTTCTTCCGGATTATGGAATGCATTACGATCAAAAGACCTATGGCTTGGCACTTCATCTTCATCAAAACTTGTTTCGTCTAAATGCAAATGTAAAGCAGGTAAAAAACAATACTTTTACAACTAACTGTGGACCAAGTTCGACAGAATGTGAAAACCAACTCAAGCAAAAGTTACATACCACTTTCCGGTGAAGAAGACGAATTTTTTTTCTTCCTTTTCACTGAGAGGCGTTTTTCACCAGCCGGAGGTCGACCAATCCTCTTATGTGGACCTCTTTTAGTCGAATTTTTGCCTATCCCTCCTCCATATCCTCCACGCCTAGCGGACGACGTCGGAGCCGTACCAACCTTACGCAGTTTTGGAGTGGCCATTCTCTTACTGCGCGGGCTGAAAGTGGAGGCAGAAGAAGATCCCAACGAACTTGATGTGTTCTCCGAATCTGAATCAGACGGAGGAGGTCTAGCTGGCGGCCTGCCTTTTTTTCTTGAAGACGAAGACACCGAAGCTGTAGACAACCTCGACGCCTTCTTACTACGCCTAGCTTGTGAAGAACGATCATCTTTGTTGGCAGTAGACGGTCTGCCAACCTTGCGAGGGCGTGATCTTTCAGAGTCATCGCTGTCATCGCTGCTTGAAGAATCACTTGCACTATCACTGTCTCGTTTGAGCTTTCTCCCTCGAGGAGCAACTTTCTTAGCTACTTTCTTCTTTCCACTTCCTTTAGGCCTTCCACGTTTTGGTTTATCTTGAACTGATACATTTGTGGAAGTTTTCCTTTTAGCTGACGACCGTCTTTTCGTTTTCCTAGTATTTTCTTCCCGTTCGCTATCTTCTGAATCATCATCGTCAGAACTCTGTCCAACAGCTCCATTTTTTAACCTGCAAAAACCAAAAAATCTATCAGCAGAAAGCTTTTCCCTCTGTCTACTCTATGCCACAGAAAAAAAAAGAAAATACCTTTCATGTGCACTTGACCCACTATGTCGATTATTCGACCTTCCAGCCAAATTCATCCACGCACCTTCAGTTAAGTCGTTTAGAAGCCGCGCCACCTAAAAATAAATAAAGTGAATTAAGCGTCAGAAACCAACGATTCCAACCCTTTACAAAATAACATATTTAGGTATGCAAAAAGAAAAAAATATGTAATCGAGAAAGCAACTAAGCAACTAACTTCGTTGCTCTTCTTATACTTTTTCACAGAAACCTCAGGTGTTGGCGGTGCAGCAATTGGCGACATCGACCTCGAAGACTCAGAATGTCCGTGCCCACGTCCTACAAAAAAAAAACAAGACTTTTCATGCGCAGATGAAAAATCATCAAGGTAATAACTATTAATGAGGAAAAAAACGAAGGACAAAATTATAAAATCAAAAAAAAGCTACTTTTCGGAGAATGATGAGACGGTGAACGAGAACGAGACCTTTCCTTCCACGGCTCTTGAGAAACTGGTTTCTCACTGATTTCTGGTTCACCTTGAGAGAAGAACGATTCATCCTTCGTGTCCACAAGATCACTTTTCAATTCCTTATTATTAGACATTTCTTGCGCCACTGACGTGGTAGGATATGTGTTAACAACAGGTTCTTCGTGCTCTAAAAACCTATCTGTTACAAAAAATCTTCAAAGGCTACCTTAAAAAGCCACTATCACTATCTATCGAACAACTGAGACCTTTTGGTAGAATGCTGTCAACCGTTCCTTCTTTAACCAATTCATCTTTAATTTGGTCCGTAATAACTGAATCTACGACTTCACAAGGTCTCGAAGTAGACGCCATAAAACTTTCTGTCACACGTCTCCTCTCATTTACAGGATCAGAACCAGCCGTCCGGCTCTGTGGGAAAGAAGACAATCCAGTCGCTGGCTGAAATGTAACTTTCCTACTTAAAAAGGAAAGATAAACAACTAAAACATCTCATAAAGAAAAAATTCACAAAGAACCCATTCTAAACAGAACTAATATAATGGAAACCTGGGTCTGTTGTGGTTGTTGTTCCTGTTGCTGCGGTTGCTGCCGTTGCTGCTGTTGCGTTTTAGGCGGACTCGGTACAGAACTATCGCACTCCATACGTTTAACATTCGCAACACTAGATGCTGTTGGGGCACTAACAGTACAAGAAAATGGTACAGAGAACTGAGGCTGTACCGCGCTCACTGCAGGAGGAATTGAAAAATTTGGAGCCAGCGAAGAAGTATTTGAGTTATTTGTGATCCCTGCAGCAACAGACGTACTCGGCTGTTGCTGCTGATACATGCTTTGAAACGAGGAGAGCAGATTGGCGCTTGTTGGCATCATGCTTGAGGGGAAATTTGAAGGGAAGCTTGAAACCGAAGCGGTATTCTGAGTTGCACCAACGTTAACAGGCCGTGAAAGAGACTGAGTTTGCGGTATTTGCTGGGTGGCGGAAGGATGAAAAGATGACGCAGCAACTGCTGAGGCATTGTTTAAATCTGAGGATACAGAGGCACCAATCCAAGAAGTCTCAACAGAATTCGACTGCTGAAGAAATCCCAGAATATAATGGTATATGAAGCAAGCAAAAATATAAGTAAAAAGTGCTTCTAGCTCAAAAGTCTGCGAAAAATAATCCAGTAGTAATAAACGCCTAAGAAAGAATGATAGAGTTAAATTTCCACGCTACAGTAAATTTCAGCACGACATTCTATCGCCTTTTCCTTATTAAAAACATTACCATCAAGGGATGCTGTTGTTTCTGATGTTGCTGTTGCAGCTGGTGTTGCTGAATTTGCTGAGCAGCAGCTGATGGTTGCCATGGCGACTGCTGCCAAAAACTCTGGAGATAGGCAGGATTAATCTGAGGGAATTGATAATATCCAGGAAATCGTGGTAAATTGTAGAATGGAGATGTCGCTGCAGCTGTGGCACTTCCCGCAGGATTCTGCCACGATGGAAGGTCAACAGAAGTCGTAGGTAACGGGAAACCTGGTGACGCGTGGAGCCCCCTCGCATCGGCGGTTAACACCTTAACGTTTAGTTAAGAACTTAGCACTTATAATCCTTGACTTCGATTTTTCTTGCCATAAAACATAAATATACAACTCAATACAAATCCAGAACCTCTCTGTAAGAAAGAAGAAAATTAACCCACAGTTGTCACATAAAAACACTAAGCTACATGACCACAAAGCTTCGATCAATTCAGGACGGTAGAAAACACTGAGCTAAAAAGAGGCTAAAAAGAAAATAACAAAATAAAAAAAGAACCTGTGAAGACAGTGCGGCCGCATCTGGTATCCTCGGGTTACCCAAGATAGTTATCGGCCTGCTCCTGTCCATCAATCTATCAACTGGTGATTTCTCGAACTATAAAAGGAACACTTGTAATAAAAAAACCCTGGTAACTTAGTAGTCTCGAAAAATTCTGTTACAACAGCTCAACACAATTAAGTAAATACACTAATTAAAACAGCACCATTTTTGTCCCGCAAAAAAATTTAAACAGCTGATAACTTACAAAAACATCATTAAAAACCAGTAAAAAAGTGCTTCGAAAGCTGAGCATATTCTCAGTGGTCTACTCAAAACTATCGAACGCTATAGCACATCTAAGACTGGCTATTAACTCTCTTAAAAAAGAGATATCGAGATCAAAAATTAAAGGCTAAGCCTTCAGAAACAATTATTGGCCTAGCAGATGTCACAAATTCCAATTTCGCAAATGTAAAAAACTGCAGTTCCTTCTGAAATGGGAGAAAAATATTAGAAATTTTTTCTGTCAACGCTCTTAAGATCAAAGACTTTCTACTATGACCTCCTCTCCTTTCTTGCTTTCAAACTATAAACAGCAAGAAATCTTAAAAGAAACTGTTTTGTTAGGAACGTCAGAATACTTCTTTAACTCGCGTATTCGAAGACGAATGGCAATAAGCCAATCCCCTAAACAACAATCAACCAAAAATACATCCTCTCCACGCAATTGTAAAATGGAAGTTTCAGAACAAAGCATCACTACAGCAGCACACAAAACCTAGGCGACAAAAAAAAGTTCATCCACCAGTCCTCACTTCAAAATGCAAGAAAAAAGCGCTACAGAAGAAAACATGGATCAAACGTCCTGAAAGCAAAATGCGTTCGAAACTGCGTTATTACTGGACTGCAAAATTTTAAAGACCTCTAAAAACGGATATAGACAAA